TGTAGATATTCTTTGGTACCATATCAGAACTTGGTAAGTGGTAGTTTCTTAAAGGTTAGTTGCAACGTGAAATTTGAAACGATATCAATAAACTTTTTGTAGTCAATTACATTAAAAGTCATTGATTATTTTGCAGTTTGGATGGATTTTACTCATGTATAATTTTGTAGTATCATGCATTGGGTTATTTGGAAATCACTCGTTTACTGAGTTAATGCAGATCCTCCAAATGTCGACATATTTAATTATATAATACTTTAAAAAGTTTACGAATTCAATCACCAATCTCATCAGAAGAATGTTTAGCTGTTGAGATAAACACTGTGGCAGACATAAGTTTTAAAAATTCTTATTTTTGCTTGAAAACTTGAATTTTATATCACTGACAACAAATAGTTGTTTTCCTTGAAGTAATAGGTTTGTTATGTTCATTCTTAAGAAAATATCTGCCAAACACTCTCAAGTTTGAACAACCGGTTTGTCTGTCAGTTGTTCTTTCAAGATAGTCCATTAAAGAAGGAGCTAGTTCAGCTTCACAACTCAACTATTTTACAAGTATTTTTCTTTGAGAAAACCACTGTATTTTGTTACATAGCAAAAGTATTCTGTGTGTACTTCCCATTTAATTGCACAGAATTTTTAAGAATACAGGTACTCCAGGGTTGAGATTTAATTTACTACATCACCAAGGGCATTCTTGCAGGGTCTCACTGTCACGCAGGTTGGAGTGCAGTGGCATGATTATGGCTCACTGCAGCTTCAACCTCCTGGGCTCAAGCAATCCTCCCACCTCAGCCTCCTGAGTACCTGGAATCACAGGCACACAACACCACGCCCAGCTAATTTTTAAAATTTTTAGTAGAAACAAGGTCTCACTAGGTTACCCGGACTGGTCTTGTACTCCTGAGCTCAGGTGATCCTCCTGCCTCAGCCTCCCAAAGTGCTGGAATTACAGGCATGAGCCACTGTGTCTGGTCTACCAAGGACATTAAGTGAAACTCACCTAAAAACAACAAAAACCTCCTAGTACAATATGGTACCATGGCTCTGATTTATGCCAAGATGCTAGTAGTTTTAACCACTATTATGTACCATCAGTGTAAATGTCAACACAGTGAAAAAGACAAGCATCTTTGTATTATTATGAAAATTAACATTGGCATGATCACTATTTGACCTTACATGGACCATACTTTAAGAACCACTGGACTATTTTTAAAATTTAATTTTTAAAAAATTTAAATTGACAAATAATAATTGTATATATTTATGGAGTACAATGTGATGTTTATATATATATATATATATATATGCTGTAGAAAGATTAAAGTTAATTAACATCACTATCACCTCACCTATTTATCGTTTTTTGTGTGTGCTGAAAACATTTAAAATCTACTTTTTAAGCAATTTTGAAATATGTAATATGTTATTATTAACTATGGTCATCATGCTGTACAACAGGTCTTTAAAATTTACTTTTCCTGTCTAACTGGAATTTTGTACCCTTGGCAAAGATCTCTCCTTTCTCCAACCCCACCTCACCCCGAAGCCTCTGGTTACCATCACTCTATTCTTTCCTCTGAGTTCGAATGTTTTAGATCCACTGGATTATTCACTATCCTTTTCTAGCTACATGTCCTGCTTCTGTTTGCCATCAACCTTGTCTCTGACTTTGCATATATTGTTCCTTTGGCCTACAACATTTTTCCCAACCAGCTGGAAAAATCCTATTTGTCTTTGAAGATCTGCTTTGGATTTAATTCCTGAGAAGTTTGCATTAAGCTGATTTAATCACTCTGCACATTGTTTCAGCACTTATCCATTGAGGGTAGAGGGACTACTAACATTTTTAAGCACCCAGTGTGTGCCGGACCCTGAGATAAGCTTTTTATATGTTTTCTAAGGAAATTTTCAAATTACTTCTATGTGACAGGCATCTTTATAGCCTTTTACATTGAAGGACCAGACAGACAGCTGAAGTCAAACCCAAGCCCATTATTTCAGGATAATGTTTCCCCCTTTTTTGTTCCAGGGCCTGATGGCAAATACATGGCACAGTTAAGACACTCAATTTATATATCCTAAACAGTTAAATAAATGAACTTAGTGACAATCTAATCTCATAATGAAGGGCTCTAAAAAGTTCCTTATTTTTCAGAGCCTGCAGTCTGGCTTTTAGTACAGTATTTTTTCATTCTTCGTTCCTTACATACATTTTAGACTTGAAATATTCATTTACTTACAGAAAAACAGTATTTTCATTTCTTTCAGCAGTGTGCTCCCAGGCACGGGATAGTAATTTAATGATCACACTGCCATCAAGCCTGAAACACAAATGTTGACATTTGACGGTAATGTTTTCCCTCTCAAAGTTGCTTCAAGTAAATACCAACGGTGTATCCAAGTAAATGAGGTAATTACCGAAAGAGCAAATGGTATATATTTTTTCAATATGCATATTCATGTTTTAAACTTTTCAGAAAGTTAATAAAAGCTATTGAATACCTCTTTCTGTACTTAATCTGGGACATTACGAATTGTGAAATTCAAATGTGCCTTAAAGAAAAGCTTAATATCTCAATCACTGCTTTACTCAGACTATAGCATGTATCTTTAGAATGGTGGTAAAACCAGCATTTCTAAGTGTGACCCAAGGACCAGCAGCATCAGCATCATCCAGGAACTTGTTAGAAGTGCAAATTATCAGGACCTACCCCAGACCTATTGAATCAAAAACTCCAGAGGTGGGGCTCAGCAATCTGTTTTAATAGCTCTTTAGATGATTGTGGAACATGGTCAAATTTGAGAACGAATGGGCAAATGAACTGTGTTATTTGGATTCATGAATGTTTATTAGAAAAAACAGATAAAATTTGGAAGACATGACTGGCCTATGTATAACCTAATTGTGAAAATAAAAGCTGTATAGTAAGGGGGTCTGCCAAGCCCAGGGCCTGGGCTGCCCTCAAGCCTATATACTGTGGCATGCAGCCAAAAGAGAGTCTCATTCCATAGAAAGAAGCCAAATCATTTCTTGACTGTGCCTTCTAAGATGTGGAAAAATACACCACAGTTGTACTTAATCAGTAGTGAAGCCATGTAAAACTATCTACCATTCCCTCCTAGGTAACTCCAACCATGTGCTATTTAAATTGCCTCTTTTCTAAATAATGCAGTCACCTGAAATACATGTTTTTTTGAGATGGAGTTTCACTCTTTTTGCCCATGCTGGAGTGCAATGGTACTATTTGGCTCACTGCAACTTCTGTCTCCTGGGTACAAGTGATTCTCCTGCCTCAGCCTCCCAAGTAGCTGGAATTACAGGCGCTTGCCACCACGCCCGGCTAATTTTGTATTTTTAGTAGAGACAGTGTTTCACACCATGTTGGCCAGGCTGGTCTCAAACTTCTGACCTCAGGTGATCCAACTGCCTTAGCTTCCTAAAGTGCTGGGATTACAGGCATGAGCCACTGCACCTGGCCGTGAAATACATGTATTTTATTACTACTGGAGTACATTCTGTCATTAAATACATTACCATGGAATACAACATTCAACTACCAATGACAAGACTATTCTTTTTAGGACTATATTACCACTATCCTAGTTGCTTTGTTACTACATGGATTTAAGGAAAACAGGGACTTGTAAGCATTTTGACAACAATTTAGAGGTATGTAAAAAGCTCGTTTTAGTAAAGAATGTATATAAAACTTACTAGCATTTTGCTAGGAAAAGCAAAAGCATTAAGTGTTCACTTCATTTTTTATTATATCTTTCTAAAGAAAAACTAGTAAATCTGCCCCACCCATCAGAGTTTCCTATCTTTCTAGGAAAGAAGGCCAGGCCAGGTAGAGGTTTACTTTAAGTCAGGAGGGAGAAGGACTCAGAATCAGATGAATGAAGTACTCAGGGCAAACGAATAAAAAGCACAGGAAGTATAGGGAAATCATCCTATTTGTCACAAACCTGGGATAAAAGTTCTTTATTTTTATTGACTGTTAATTAATTTTGTTTACAATATAAATAAGAAAGAAAGACTTAGGCTTCCTAAACATATGTGTTTATGTGAATGATTACAAGTAAGATTATAACAATTTTGTTTGAGATCTTGTGTTTGTTAAGAATGCAACATTATAAGAATACATGCTTTAGAATGAGACAGATCGAAGTTTGAATTCCAGCTCTGGCAGTACCAGTTTTTGTGACTCTGTCCAACTCTTAACTTCTCTGGTTTTTCAGTTTCCTCATGTGAAGAATACAGCAAATTTATAAGGATTTGAGATAAATATTTATTATATACCTGGCACAGAACAGGTGATCAATCAATAGTTACTAAGGTATTAAATAAAATGAATGCCTAGAGAACTGATTTGGGTATGCAATCTGCCTAGCTGAACTGAGGAGTATACTATTGGGTCTCACACTTAATACCCAATTTCTGTTTCACCCACATGCTAAATAACTATAAATTGCTTGCTTACCACCCTCCATTTTGTTCACAATACTTGGAAAGAGGACAGAAAGAGATAGCAATAAAAAAACAAATATTCCCTTAAAATAAGTAATGCATATAGAGATAATACCATCATAAAAAGCAAAAAGAAATGCTGGAAGAGTTTTATTTCATTTACAGTGAGGGAAAGAGCAGTACCACCACTTATTCATTGATCCTGTTTCTTCCTCACATTACCATCACATTTCAAAACAACATATTATTTATTGCTATTAAGGTATTATGGATTTGCTTTTCTATGCTAAAGTCCAATGCAGCAGGCTACTTAAGCCAAAGATCCAGGGCTATAAACCTTGTTCAGTGCAATAAGATCACTTTAATACTATTCTAATCTTAGAATGCAGTTATAAAGATAGATGATGGCCACAGAGTGCTACTTACAAACAGAAATGGCTCTTATGCAATCTTAAAAGCTATAAAAAACTTAGCACCTGAAAATGTGTTAAAAAATTCCCATATTCTGCCAGTCTATTTTACATACCTGAGAATCTTTTTAGGAATCAGTGATGGAGAAGAATGACTCCTCTTCTTCTCTGAGTCCTGTAGTAACGCATTCTCTGCTTTACCCTTCTCCATGACTGCTGCCTGGTCTGCCCCAGCCTTGCTCTGATCCACACTGAGCTGGCCTTGAGCAGGGTCACACCTGTACATGAAGACAATGGCTGGTTTCTCACTGGACTCTCCTTTTGCCTCTGTGAACCAGTGATGGCGCTGAACTGGAGGAGGAGGCAGCATGTGAATGACTGTGCCATCCAAGCCCACCAGTTTCCCTTTCTCTCGCTCTTTCTCTTTGTCATCTTCCTCGTCTGTTTTCCGACGGCGGAAGAAGCTTTTAAATGATATCCAGCGCTTAGGCTTTGCATCCGCTGCCCGCCTGCTGCCTTCAGAGTGCAAAACTGATTCAGCTTCTGTTGACCTGGTAGGGCTGGTTGGCTTGGTCCAGTTGGTGAAATGCCTCTGCAAAAGGTTACTTGCATGGTAAGGAGAGGAAGTAGAGCGTGGTGGGGGAAAGGGTGGTGGTGGCTCACTCTGGGGGCTAGTCACTAATTTGGAGGGAGAGGGGGTGACTGGCTTTGTGGATGAGTCTTTCTGTATTTTGGTGGTGGGACTGTCTGTGGTCTGAGGTGCTTCAGCCTCACCACTAGGCTGAGATGTAAAGAGAGATTTGGGCCGGACTGGTGTACTCTTAGCAACATCAGCATCTGGAGGAATGGCATAAAGCTCTTCCACACTGCAAGCTTGAGGGCCAGATTGAGGTGTTTCTGGAGGAGACTGTGGGGGTTGAATTGAAGCCACAATCTGAGAAAGCACTGTGCTTGCTTTCTCTCTGGTGCTGCTGCTGCCCACCATCTGAGACTCCTGAGTCCCTTCTATTTTGGCCACAGGCTCTTGAGTGGTTCTCTGGATCTTTGCTGGGGAGCTGTGGCTGGAACTATAGCTTCTCTGTGGTGAAGACTGACCTCTGTTGAGACAGTTGTTAAACTCTTGAACCTTCTGAGCCACTGAGCCCCTTTTACGCTCTGTGCTGTTTGAAAACCCTTTAGTTTGAAGACATTCAGTGGTTTTGCTAGTGGTGTTATCAGACACTTTGCTTCCAGTTTCTATTTCTTCATAAGTATGGCTTATTACACTTGTGGTTTTTTCCTTCACTGAGAGTTCTCCACTTGTTCCCAGAAAACTTTTGTAGATGGCTAGATTGTCATATGCATTTGGATTGATAACAATGGGAACTTTGATAGCATTTTTGGAACTCCGAGCATACGTTGGCTCGTCATGAATGATAATTGGAAACGGTGGCATACCAGCATTGTTATAACTATTAAATTTAATTTCAGACAAATTAGGTGACTTAACAGGGATGGTTTTGGAGGAAACGTTTGTAGCTGTGGGAGAAGTAGGTGCTGATTTGTGACAGTTTTTCCTTGGAGGAACATTTGGTCCGGTTCCACTAGTAGTAATTAGTTCCACTTTAGGTATTTTTTGTCGTGGACTGGTGCTAGAAGTCCATACTTCCTGGTATCGAATTGCACTGGATTTTTGGAAATGAGCACTTATTTGTCCTGGTGTCAATGAAGATGATGTCACTGGCGAGTTTGGAGTAGAACATGAGCCTTTTGTCTTGGGGCTGTTAACAGGGCCCTCAAGGTGCTCGCTGGCCATGGCTGCTGACACATCCACGACAGTATATGGCTTGCACAATGGCTGTTCCAGATTCACAACTCGGTAGGGTTTTGCTTGCTCTTCTGTGGGGACGAGGTTTATGGTTACTGCTTGTCCAGTGACATCTGTAGAGGCTTTACTTTCTTCCTTCTCAGTTTGTACAGCAATCTTGCCATCCTTCTCTTCTAATCGGAGAGCAAGGACTGCTTTGTGGGTCTCTGGAACTTTTATGGAACTTTTGGAAGCTTGCAATGAATCTTTATCCTGATTATTACTAGCAGGACTTTCATAACTGGGCTCAATTTCCTTCCTATCCTTAGAGTCTCCTGGGTTACCAGGAGATACTCCCCCATTAAAAATCTTCTGGGATAAACTACTGGCTGTCTCAGAACGTGATTCTTCTGTTAAAGAAGAATCTGGTGATGTGGAGTCAGACGAGACCATACTCTGAATGCTTCCTTGTCCATAAGAGACCACAGAATTTTCCTCATAACCATTCAGGATTTCATCATAGCTGTCATCATAGTCCACAGCACAGATTCTCTGCAGAGATTTGTTTCGTAGGGGGATGGTATTCCATTTTTTGTTCACAAAGAATCGAACAGGAGACAAAGTATTTGCTCTGAAGTTGGCAAAGCGGGGTTGCCCTCTCATGCGAATCTCCATGGCCAACAGCTCTTCATCACTCTCATCCCAACTCTCGTGCTCCTCGTCCATGTTACTGAAAAGCACATCCTCTTCACTCTCCTCGCCACTGGAAAACTCTGGGTAACAGAACCGGCCCCCTTCGTTACTAATCACTTCTGTGCTCCCGCTCAGAATAACATGCTTGCCCTGAGTATCCTTTATCCCACCTATCATGCAACTTGGTGGAAGTTTTCTTTCCAATGATCGTTTATAGCAATCATTTATTCTTCCTAAGAATGTTTCTCTGGTGTTTGCTTCATTTCCTCTAATCTGAGGGGAGGTATCCAAGCCTGCTATCTCCTTTAACACTTCAGTTAGTCCATTATTGTTATTTGACATCTTCTTTGCACTATCATTATTGCCGTAAGGCTTAGGAACATGGCTAATTCCGTCATCATCTTCATTATTATTGTTAAGTGGTTTCTGACTCAAGGCAGCTCTGTTTCGGTTCCACCCTATGATGACAGGTTTGTTCTCACAGTGTTCTTGGATGCTAAGCTCACCACATATACTTTGCCCATCTGCCACCATCATAGTGGGCTTCACAGCTATAGTGGGTTTTTTAGCCACAGGAGGCCGGAAATTTCCGGTGTTCCTGATTCGGTGGTTGTTACTGTGATTGGCGTTAGTTTTCACATTGCCATGGGTGATGGGTGCCTTCTCAGGGTCTGGGGGTAGCTGGTGCAAACTTTTAGGTTTAAAGCAATTCTTGCATTCACCAGGTTTCCAAACGTGTTCCGTAAAGGTGTTACAAGCAGACATTTTTAAAAACAGAACTTCACAGACAATGCTTTTCTTTCAGTGCATGACAAAACTTTCATTTGTTAGTTTTCACTTCCCCTATGTGTTACAGCAGTTCTTCTAAGAATGATCAATCTGTGGGGGGAGGGGGGAAGAAGACAAAAAAACTGAATGAAAAAGGCACTGTGAGACTTACACTAGTGACTTTAAAATCTTGACTCTACTCCTAAATTTTTCCTTAAATTAAAAGATTGAGAGCTAAACTAATTTGGGTACTTCATAATTTACCTTTAGCCAATTAGTATATTGGAAAGTGAGCTTTTAACCATAATTTATGCATGCTTATCAAACCATACATAATATTCAGCTTGATGTCTCTGTTGCAATGATTCTATGACCTTCCCTCCGAGAAATGCCTTTGATACTGCTCCTTTTATTATCCACCAATTTATCTAATACTTACCAGCCCACTATAGGTTCCTCTTCTTCCACCTACCCTAGAACTTTTTAGACATTTCATAGACTCCTCAAACTCAATGCATTGAAAATGAAGCCTCGGGGCTGGGTGTGGTGGCCTCACGCCTGTAATCCCAGCACTTTGAGACGGAGCCCAAGGTGAGAAGATCACTTGAGCCCAGGAGTTCAAGACCAGCCTTGCTAACATGATAAAAGCCTCTCTCTACAAAAAATATAAAAATTAGCTGGGTGTTGTAGTGCATGCCTATAGTCCCAGATACTTGGGAAGCTGAGGCAGGAGGATTGTTTGAGCCTGAGAGGCGGAGGTTCCAGTAAATTGAGATTATGCCACAGTACTCCAGCCTGAGTAACAAAGTGAGATCTGTCTCAAAAAAAAAAAAAAAAAAAAAAAATGCTGAAAAGCAGAACAGGGGCCAGATCATGCAAGGCCTTTTAGGCTTTTAAAGATTACAGAGTGTATCCTAAGAACAGTGGGAAGCCACTGAAGGGTTTTGAACAGGGGAAACAAAATAATCCAATTTGTATTTTAAAAAGATAGCTCTGACCAAAACCCATAAAATTCTTAGGTATATAAGTCTTACAAAGTATGTGTAAAATCTAGAATCTCTATGAGCAAAACTATGAAACACTGATAGATTATGGGCAGAAGAAGGGAAAAAGGTAAGCAAATTATAGTCCAGAGGCCAAATGCAGCTCATTCCTGTTTTTTTATCCCAAGGTTAAGGATGCTTTTTATGTTTTTAAATGGTTGGGAAAAAAATCAAAAGGAGAATAATGTTTTGTGACAAGTGAAAATTACATGAAATTCTAAATTAAGTACCCACAAATAAAGCTCCACTGGAACACTGGTCCCACTCATTTGTTTACATATTGACTATGGTGGCTTCTGTGCTACAATGGAGAGATGAGTAGCTATGACATGTGTGACACACAGACTGTATGTGTCACACACAGACTGTATGTGTCACATTTACTGCTTTGAGGCGCTCCACAAATTGCAGAATTTTCACTGGTGCATCTATCACCTGTGTGAAATGACATTTTTCAAAGATAAAATATATATAATTTCATTACAGATATGCTTTAATAGATAAACATTTGTAATCAATTTTGATGAGAGAAGTACTAACTTTGAATCCCAATCAAGCAAAATGTTATCCTTCCCAAAATGGAATTTCATTCTTTTCACTAGTAAACCTCTGTTATAAAATATTGTACCTAATTATATTTTGAATTTTATTAAAAATATTTGCAGAAAAAATAAAATAATGGTAAGAAAATTAAGATAAGCCACCGAGTAGGAGAAATTTTGTGAAAAGTTCATATCTGACAAAGGACTGTGTATCTAGAGTATACAAAGAACTTTCAAAACTCAATGAAAAGCCCAATAAAAACGTAAAAGATTTGAGCAGACTCTTAACCAAAGATATATGATTTTTTGATCTTTTTTTTTTTTTTTTTTTTTTTGAGACAGGGTCTCGTTTTGTCATCCTGTCTGGTGTGCAGTGGTTTGATCACAGCTCACTGCAGCCTCAACCTCCCTGGCTCAATCAAGCTTCTCATCTCAGCCTCTGGAGTAGCTGGGACTATGGGCACATGCCACTATGCCAGGCTAATTTTTCTATTTTTTGTAGAGACAGGGTTTCTTCATGTTGCCCAGGGTGGTCTCAAACACCTGGGCTCAAGAGACCCACCTACCTCAGCTTCCCCAAAGTGCTGGGATTACAGGCACAAACCACCATGCCCAAAGATACATGGATTGCATTTAAACATGTGAAAGAGTAAATATAATTAGCCACATGGAAATGCAAATTCAAACTACAATGTGCTACCACTACATGTTTATTAGAATGGTTAAAATAAAATTAAAACAAAAACAGACTGGTCCTAGTGAGGATGTGAAGCAATTGAAACTCTCATATATTGCTGGTGGGAATGTAAATGGTTCAGGTATTCTGAAAAACAGTTTTGCAGTTTCTTAGAGAGTTAATCATAAACTTACCTTGGAACCCAGCAATCCTACTCCTAGGTATTTACCCAAGATAAATAAAAACTTCTGTTTACACTAAAACCAATACACAAAGGTTTACAGCCAAAAGCTGGAAACAATCCAAATGTTATGTGGCAGTGGTTACACAACTGCATACATTTGTCGAAACTCACAGAACCAGCCAGGTATGGTGGCTCATGCCTGTAATCCCAGCACTTTGGGAGACCAAGGTGGGGGGATCGCTTGAGGCCAGCAGATTGAGACTAGCCTGTACAACATGGTGAAATCCTGTTTCTACCAAAAATATAAAAATTGGCCAGGCATGATGGTGTATGCTTATAATCTTAGCTAATTGGCAGGCTGAGGCATGAGAATTGGTTGAATCTGGGTGGCAGAGGTTGCAGTGAGTCGAGGCTGCATCATGTCACTGCACCCCAGTCCGAGATTCTGCCTTGAAAAACAAACAACTCATAGAACCACACACTAAAAAAGGTGAATTTTATGACATGTAAATTTACCCTCAATAAACCTGACTTAAAAAAGACAGCTCTGCTCCTATGTAGAAAACGGACTTGGGGAGAACAGGACAGGAGGCAGGGAGACTCCTTAGGAGGACTGATATAGGCAAACTAAGATCGGATGAGGATCTGGATTAGGATGTGGTGTCAGGGAAGGCAGAGAAAGATGCAGGAATGACTGGATTTTGAAGAGAGTAAGAGGTACTGAGGCTTATGTATTGAAATGATTTGTGGAGCCATTTACTGAGATGACAACATTGGAGGAGGTGCAACTTTTGAAGGGAAGATTATGAGTCCATTATTTTGTCAGCCTGAATATTAGAGAGTATATGAATTTAGGAGTCTGAAACATGAATGAGAATTCTGTGGTTCTCATATGCTTAGAAATTACTAGTGTAGAAATGTCTAGGCCAGGCCGAGTGCAGTGGCTCACACCTGTAATCCCAGCACTTTGAGAGGCTGAGGTGGGTGGATCATGAGGTCAGGAATTCAAGACCAGCCTGGCCAACATAGTGGAACCCCATCTCTACTAAAAATATCAAAATTAGCTGGGCGTGGTGGTGGGTGCCTGTAGTCCTCAGGAGGCTGAGGTAGGAGAACTTCTTGAACCCGGGAGGTGGAGGTTACGGTGTGAGCTGAGACTGTACCACTGCACTCCAGCCTGGGCAACAAGAGCAAAATTCTGTCTCAAAAAAAAAAAAAAAAAAAAAAAAAAGAAATATCTAGGCCAAAAAGAAAATAAAGAGTGAGCTGAGGAGGTGGCCTTGGTGGGTGAGCCTGGGAGAAGAGGCCAATTCTTCTTCCCTAACTGGAAACTATCAGCCAAGGTGTGATGGCACAGAAGCCAGATGAGGAAATGTCATGAAGGAGAAAGATGATAACTATTTCAAATGCTACTGAGAGGCTAATACAAGCCCACTGGACTTGGCAATGTGAGCTCATCAGTGACCTTAGCATGAACTATTTGGTTCAGTGGTGGGGATGGTAACCAGACTGCGGTGAGTTGAAGAGTGAGGTAATAGAGCAATGGTAGATAGCTTTTAGATAAGAGTAGACAGGAAGGAGAAGCAAGAAGGTGGTAGGAGGACAGGGGTCCAGAAAGGATTTCCTTATTTTAAGATGGGAGAATCTAGATAATGTTGAATGATAATATTGGGGAAAGATATAGGCCAGGGTGAGAGGCTGAAAACACAGGAAAGCGGGAAGAAACACAATACTTAGAATGTTAAAACTGTGCAGGTTCCTAGTTCAGTTGTGTTTTATGGACAAGAGAACTGAAGCCCAGAAGAGAAAGTGACTTTACTAAAGTAAATGAGAAAGACCCAGAACTGGGACTCAAGGCTACAGCTACTTACAATATGTTTTGTTTTTACAATTTTTGGGAGGTATTTTTTTCTTTTGTTTTATATGCTTACTGTGCAAACTCAGAAAAGCATAAAGAAAATAGAAACCATATGTAAACCTATTATTCAGAAGTAACTTCTATTAACAGTTTGAGGGCAGTTCCTGTCAGTCACCAAGAATTTAAACTGAAAAATTCCCAGTGCTTAGCACTATGCAGCACTGAATACAAAAAAAGAATAAGGCACCTTGGCATAATATCTTGTTAACCAAGCTAAACAGACCTCTGATAAGAGTCGGATTAAGCTTTCTCTTTGTAAGGAGTACAATATATTTGCTTTTTCAAATACTAGTAGATAATAGTAAAAATAATTCCCCACTTTGAGTAAAAGGAAGTTAATTCAGTCAAAAGATGGCTAAGTTGATTAGCACCTATCGCTTATCAACAGAATAGCCAAATAAGACTCACCAGGAACACCATTTGCTTATGTCAGTGTTGTGTGCACTAGAAACCCATCTTGCATATGACATTCGTTTACAAGTTTGCGTCCATCTGTATTCATCTGCTATAAAACCAAGAGATGAATCAAGCAAACACCTTTAGCCAGCACCAGATGGAGCTGCTGTCTAAGCCACAAAACCTTAACTACGAGGGCTTCATTTTAAACACTAATTATGTTTGGAGACAAAGAGGTGCAATTAAAGACACTGTCAAAACTATTTTTGAGACAATAGTCTCATAGAGGGGGAAGCTGTACCAGATGCAGGTCTGTCCAAAGAGCAATCCTTGGGTTTTACAGCCTTTGTGA